GCAACACTCCGTGAACGAACAATTTTTGTTGGTTAGCACCCAAACTCGTGACTGGTTTTTTGTTTCGGGTTCGTATGCGTATACCCAGGATTCGTCACCTGATACGATGTTGTATACAGCATTTGAGGATCCTGCGTGGAATCTTTCGAGAGTTCCGACGCACCAAGTAACGCGAGCCGCTTTTTGCTCTTCACAGAGCGAATGCGGTATCCATCGGGAAAACAATTTTTTTACACCTAATTGTTCATGCAAGATTATTTGTATTTGACTCATGCCAATGTCTAAAGTTGCCTGAATTTCGCGGTATGTCACAAGTCGATCTTTCTCAATCAGCTTACGCACAGCATCAACGTTTTCTTGGGTGACTGCAGTTCTTGGACGACCTTGACGGGGATCATCACTGAGCTTGACACGTCCTCGTTGAAATTCAGCAAACCAGCGATAAATTGTGGTTTTGGATGGGGCTTCATCACCAAATGCAGAAATCATCCGGTCAACACACTGTTTTTGTGTTAAACCATTTCGAAAGTCATAATAAATCATCGCTCTTGAATTTTCTCGAGTCAATTCAATTTTCTCAACGACTAAAAAAGTTTGACAAAACCTTGTGACAAGACCGAGAATCTTTTTTTAAATAAATAAATGGTATTCAATTTTTAGAACCAAGGAGTTTTCAATTAAAAAGATTTTAATATGACAGGAACAGTGGAAATATTCCATTCCCGATACTTTTAGTGCAGCCTAGGTATTACGAATACATATGTATCAAACACATCTTATAACGAATTTAGCGAATTTTTTCAACTTAGAACCTGAACATAACGTACCCTATTATTTATTTCCACTTATTTCCAAAATAAATAATGTCTTGACAGGTTCAGAGATGTTAAATTCTTAGTACAAGTCGCGACACGTAAGTCTAGCGCTGAACAAAACGTGGAGAGGATGGCTGCGCACGCCAATAGCCGTATCCGTACGCAAGTAGCAGTAGCCAATCCACGCGTGCAAACCATACGCACAGCCAACCAGCGATACGCACGCCCGCCCCGCGACCCGCTTACTACCCCATGATGATACCGTTTTTTTTTATTTATACACACTAACGGTCATAACTAGACTTTAGTGCCGCTACGTGTACGTAATGTTGAGGTTAATAAACAAGTTTTCTTACCTCGTTAAAACGAATCGTACTCTTACCTAACCTCTATATATCATTATAACGAATTACTTTATATAACGAGTATTTTCTAATTTCCTTCAGAAGAGTAAGACGACTAAGTAGAATATATTAATCTAATTCAATTCAGGATCCGAAAAATTATTTGTGAGGCCAACAAAGGATTAGTCTGGGCGTTGCCCAGTCGTGGAACGATAAGGTATATAATACCTAAAGTTCCACGACTCCGTAAATATGTAGAAATATCTTTAAAGGGATTGCATTCTTTAATAGGATAACTTTTTTTTAGTTACTACTAAACTCACCCTTTCTGCTAAAATAATAATTTGTCATTTTTTCGGTCATATTGCGAACATCGACTGTCGCTCAAGATATTTGGTTTCGAAATTTAAAACTACTGTGAGTGATCGAGTAACAGGAAGCCGAGGCTTTTGCGGATATCCCGACATGAATAGTGTGGGAGAAATTGTTACAGTGATTTTATATTAACAGCTCTTTGCTTACCGATGCACCTTTGTTTGCAGATTTATTATTACTAAAATGTCGAGAATATAATGTCATTATGGTGAGCAGACCTGTATCAATCGTGAACTATTCGTTCATTTGAACCGAATCGCGCCAAAGTATTGATGATACGATTGACAAGACCTACGACTAAAGAGTATTAGTAATGTCCGATGACCGACATCAAATTGGTCTCAGATCACAGAGTACTGAAACTCGAAATGAGCCTTTTAAATGATCGATCTGAATGACCCGGTCCGTAAGACAAATCAATACGTGAATGATCGGGTCACTAGAAATAAATGGTCTCACCATTAGATATATATCATGGTAGCTTAATAGCCCAGTGCTAACTGAAAAACTGAAAGCGAAAAAAGAAACAGGACGTATGGTGTAGTCCAAATTGGTAAAGCGCACTGAATTAGCTCGACTGGTGTTTCTTATGGCAGGTGACTAGAACAGGAGACCTTTTTTTCTAGTAACGAGTTATTCTAAGTGCCAAGGCGTCTGCAATTTAAATTTTAATTGATGAAAGATTGTAGGTCCTTCTGGTGTGCTCTTTTGTCTCCTTTACTTGTATAAAAATCTATTTAGGGTATTCAATTATCGCAACTAATCACATGAACAGTAAATACACTAGTCATCAAAAAAATCGTCGCACCTGCGTTTTTACCGCAAATCACGTTTTCCTTAAGCAAAATCAAACAAAATGTTTTAGTACCGAAATGTATTTAACTTGTTTATTTACACCAATTTAATTACAGTTAAAACATCGAAATTGTTTTTTGCTAGTCATTTTGATTTAAAGATCAAAATCCTTAATTTTACACAATTTTTTGATTAATTTTAAATACGCTCAATTGTTATGCCTTAAATAATGTTATGTACACAATTGTTGCAATTTAATATTGCGTATTCCCTGCTCTTGCTCGAATAACGGCCTGCATTCGCCGTTTTAATGACCTTATCAAGATTTTGATGGTTTCTTGAGGATTCGGTTCCATTCTTTTCATACGGGCTGACTTTTTTGATGACTAAGTGTACCTATCTAAAATATTAAGTAGGTAGATAATATTAAACTTGAAATCACAGTCATGCTAATCCTTCCGATTCAGCGCTCATTGAAACGGTAGGTTAATGTTGTGAACGGAAGTGGGGTCGAGAGTGGTGTCAGTGACTTCAGTCATCTGCACAATAAAACATGTTACGAGAAGTAATCGTATCTCGTATTTTGCACCATTAATAATTTTACATAGGTGTATGTTATAAATACACTCATCTGGACACGAAACTTGACGATTCAGTCTTGTTTTCTTAAACGTGTATAGCCTAGAAAATCCGAGACTGTTTATAGTTCAAAAGAAACTTAATTCGGTATCCCTCACGCAACATATTGATATTAAGGCTTATATATTATAATACCGGTTATGTCAAGCAGCGTTAACTGAGAAATATACCCCGCTGTACTGCTTCCTTAGTTTCCGTTCATTAGTGAACTTATAGGCTGGTTGTTCCATGGTATTCCAAAAGTTTTGAATCAAAACCGCTAGCTCATAATACTTAACCCGAGTTCGAACCCCATCAGCACTGATGACGTTCTCAATTTACTATTCTTAATAATTGCAATAAGTTCTTTAGAGAACTGCGCACATTCACGCATCGGACAGCACTAATTTTATTTTATAAAATCGAAATGACAATAAAAACATACACTTCAACAAGATGGTAAGGTGCTACTGCTAATATACATGGTAGAGCCACACTGCAGCCATATTATAGTAGTGGCACGAATGGGTAGACTCGACCGGGGTAGGACCTCGCTCTCACAGAATACCAGCGTAAAGTAGCAGCTTAATACTGCTATGTTTCGTATGGTGAGTGTAGAGATCCGGAGACCATTTTTTGCTGAAAACGAGGCATTACATCTTAGTCCTCAGGGGTGACAACGCATCTGCGTTTTGATTCTTAATCGAGGATAAATGTAGATGTCTATGGGCCACAGCATCCACTTACCATCAAGTGGACTGTGTGCCCGTTTGTCACCCTTATTCTATAAAAAATGAAAGAAGAAAGAAAAAGATTAGTACAAGTATTAATTTAGTTAAAAATTAATTGTTAATTTAATATGAATCTAAATTGCTCAGACTTCTATAATTATTAATGTAAAGGTGAGCTAACGTGGTTAGATCATTGATAACCAAAGCAAAGAGCAATAACAATTATATATGGAAAAATAGATAAAGATTAAAAATAAATGTGTACTTTTTTTCTCCTGAATTTCTGAAAAGTACTCTACTAAGTACTCTCTAGAAATCTACTATCATAATTATTCATCTTTTTGGAAAAAATACTATATTTGTTCAAAAAAGGTGGCAACCCTAAGTGCATGCACTCCTGCTTGGAGCAGAAATAGATGAGGTAGGCAGAAAAAGAATCTTACCACCAAGTGAAATAAGCAGGTATCACCGAAATTATACAACTAACGTGCCAAGGCGCATCAACGCACATAGCGGATATTGTCCGCATTTAGCGGATATAGCAAAGGGCCTAGTATTTTCTTTGGAAACAATTTCTCCTTTTTCTAATCTTAAAGAAACAACAGAGCGTAATCTCAGAATATTCAGCTAACTTCCGGCGAACAAATGATTTTTTGCCACGCTTCGCAGACTTCGTTGCTCGCGGATTCGCGGACAAATTGTTAACGCGGGCATTTAATATAAAATTTTTACAAATCTTACCGAGAAATAGTAGCCCGAAAAATACCTTCGTCTTTAGTTTGGCAGCTGTAGTCACCTTGAAGCGGAAATTGCGAATATACATCTTCCGATTTCTATACAAATAGAAAGACATCGCAAGTGGTGAAAGGAAAATAGAGAGCATTTTATGTTCTGTATTATGCAGAACATGTTAGCAGACTATAAATTATAGTGGATTTAATGTAATTCAAACGATTAGTGTTATGAATGTAACTTTTTAAATAGATATTTAATATGTTTAAAAATTTACATTTATACAAAAACGATGTGATATTCTTACTACTACTTTCGTCGATAAGAATTCGTTGTTTATAGTATTGACAATATTTTTATCGTATATGTAATTTAAAATTAAGTTTGCTGTGTAAGAATCAATTTTTTTATCTTAATCTACACATTTTTTTTTGGTAGAAAATGCCTATTTTTGAGGGATTTCAATGAAGGAAAAATAAATAATCTAACATGTTCCAAAGCCACCAGGATTGATTTCGGATGTACTACTTTCAGAGGTGTGTATGAAATATTGAAATTCAAAATAGTAAATAGTTACATATTTATTGCAGAGTTCATCAGACTCGGTGCTGACGACAGGGGCCGTTGTGGAGCGCGCTAATAGCTTACAGAATGCGGAGCAAAATCTGCCGTCCCATGTCGCATCCACCCTTCACCGCAATAAGAGCTCGCTTCATTCCACTTCACAGGCCTCTCTTGGTAAATATAAAATCTTGTGGATGTCAAACGAGTAGCTGTTTAATCTCGTCGAAAAAGAATATCTAGTTCTTTCTTTTTTTAATACAATTTTGAGGGTTGAGGAAACCTGCATGTCTGAGCAAAAAAAAACTTTACTTTTTCTAGATTCTGCCGACTGGCGTCACTGAGCGGGAGTATATTTGTCATTTTTTATAGATAAGGGCGATAAACCCGCCACAAAAAGCCCACAGACATCAACATTGAACCTCAATGAAGATTAAAAATGGAGATGCGTTGTCATCCCTTAGGTCTAAAAAGGAATGCCTCATTGCCAGTAAAAAGGGTCTCCGGTTCTCTACACTCACCATATGAGACACAGCCGCATCAAGCTGCTATTTTACGCCGGTATTCTGTCATACTTATTAATATTTGTCTTACATACTTCACTGTATAAATTTGAACTTATTTCCATTTTAAATACACAATTATCATATTTTATGTTCGGAAACGGCTTTCGATGCTTACTCATTTTTTGTTTTTATTTAGCTAGATTAAAATCTTATTGGACAGAATTGAAAAGATCACTGTAGTAATTTATGCTTATCCAAGGTTAATAAAACTCGTTTTAAGATTTCTTAAAAGTGAAACTGGGCGGTCACTAATAAAGTTAATATAAAAGCTTAAATGTTTGTTATTGATTCCAACTGGAAATATCGTTGGTGTTAATGCAGACTTCAAAGGTTGGTTAATCATATTTCGCCTTCTTGCATTCACACCGTGGAAGCCATTGTGACTGTCTTTTAGTAGTCGTGTAGGCGTCTTATATACATAAATTACATGTGGACAAACCACACCAAGACACGCGAAACAATTATTTTTATGGCATTATAATATTTGCTCCGTGTGTGGATTTGAACCCGTAGCGAAAATAAATCGCATTACACCTTAGACATAGCTCTCATTGGACTGTAATTTTAAATTCATACTTTTCGGACTCTGATAACAATCATGAGATAAGATTTAGGTGCTTTATATTATAAAACCGGCATATACGGCAATAATCTAAAAAGGGTTTGAAGTTTTTATATTAAATTAGAAATGTAACACTAATCTATTTTCTATGTTCAGTCTATGTCTGCATCGCCACAAACGACATGGAATATTATTTTAAGATATTATTATAACAGTTTGAGAGAACAGCAGTGCGTGCAGAGTTTTACAACTCTGATGGGAATCGTTTGTCGGTGGGAATCACTCTGCAACTGTTTTTTTTAACATTACTAATATAAAAATAATATTACAGTTAAAAAAATTAAACAACATGCAGTGAATATTGTTATCGATTTTATAATACGTCTGCATAGTTTCAGATTATTTATACGTCTAGAAGTCTGAAAACTGAGAATTATTAAATTCCATTACAGATTATTATTAGGATTCAAGAGTAGTTATGTATATATATATATATATATATATATATATATATATATATATACGAATTATATATTATATATATATACCCTGATATATATAAAAGTTTGGCAAAACTCCACTAAACCACTCCTTCAAAACACTCAGCATTCATCTCTTGATGGTAATCTTCTTTTCCCTTTTAAGCCTTAGCCTTTTTTAAAATATCGACGCAACATCAAAATGATAGATACTTCTCTATAATGGCTATCATATGTCATAAATTAAATGCTAGGACCATTATTATGGTTATAGCACGAATGGGTCGGCACGACCGGAGAATACCAGCGTAAAATAACAGCTCCAGAAATTCTTTTATTGTAAAAGAGGTATCTCATCTTAATCCTCAGGGCTGACAACGCATCTGTATTTTGATTCTTAATCGAAAATAGGTGTAGATGTCAATAGGCGAGGGGGATAGAAATGAAACTTTTTTATTAGATATGGATTATAAATATGGTTAAAACTTCTGTCCTGGGAAGAAACAATAAGAAATCTAGCGGGACAATTTTATTTAAAATGGACCGTTTTTTTAAATAATACTAGTAATGCTATTATCATTACTAATATTCCCTTTAATCACTCCGGGTAAGTTTAAAATGCTTGACGAACAGCGGATCTAACTCACGACCTTTTGAGTTCGCGGTCCGCATTCTGTCTTTAGGCTGCTGTTGCATTTCGTAATCATATATTATGTTATATTTTAACTAACTACACAAGAAAAATAGCTTTTTAACAATTTACTGTATATAATAACTTGGTAAAATCCACTTATCAGGTTGTCAAGTGTGCTCATTTGTCTTCCTTATTCAATACAAGTAAAACATACGACATAATCCATTACAAAGTGACTACCATTTTGATGTCAAAGCATTTAGCGAATAGGCCAGATACATAATACGCGTGACATTTAATCGCGTAATGGCGGTGTAAGAATATCCACTGCTCCATATTGTCCCGTAGGTTTTGTCGTAAGAGGCGAAACAGGGACACTGAAACAGGAGATTGGCTAATAGCAGCTTCCTGATAACAACTCATAAACTGCGGTCACCAACCCGCCACTATGGCAAATATCTTAACTATGTTGTTGTATTGGTCTTACCAGTTACCTTATTAAGACATCATTACGGAGCCATCGAGACATTATCTATCTCATGTAGCTTATTTAAATATGAATGTCGAAGACGTGTAAGGAGATATCTGGACCAGACCAATTTGTTTTTGATCTTTCCAGGCGGCAGTATGACGTCGCTGACGTCCGCACCTGCAGCGGCCGCGCCGGGCGCGTCGCTGTCTTCGCTGTCGACGTCGGACCTGACGGAGCGCGCGCGGCCGAGCCACGGCAAGCCGAACGTGGCGCCCAAGCCGCCGGCGCCCTCGCCGCCGCCCAAGAAGCTCGTGCTCAACGGCAAGGTGGCCGCGCGCGCGCAGAGCATGCGGGTGCCCAGGTCAGTGCTCACTTTTTTTTTATAAAAAGGGGGTAGACAAACTTGCGGAGCTACCGCCACTACCTTGCTTACCGCCGCCCGTGAACAACAGCTGCAACACCAGGGAATTGCAAGTACATATACAGTATTACATATATCGTATGTTAGTATACAGTAAGTACATATGTCGATCTTTTTTTAAAAAAGATGGGCTCGCTCTCACAAATAATATTTATTGGTACTAGTTTACAACAAGCGTCTTGGATGATGGTGTCCAAATAAAATATTGATGAAGTACTTTTCAACATGAAAATAAATACGTACGAGGGCGGGTCAACAAGTTCGCGGAATGAAGGGGTTGGAGAAGAGAGGGGCAATTTTTTTAACCGCCACTACTTGGTGACTTAATACGACTATAAATACCAAGTTTCAGCTAGATAGGTTGCTTAACTTTTGTGATATCACGGGATAAACAAGTCAATCGGTAAATGAACACTAACTACGGAGACAATTAAGTTTCATGCCATGATTAAGTTTCATGCCATGATTAAGTTTCTCACTTAGTAAGGAAAGACGCCACATATCATTATGGAAGAGACTTCATCTGTTTACATGGTACTTACCCCAGAAAAATGTGGCATTACCTTTTCAAGCAAGCCAGCGACTCAAATGAAGACAATCAGCCTGCCGACCGATTGAGGCAACTTCCTCAGACGTTGTCGAAAAAGTGAAAGAACTTGTTTTTGAACATGTTCGTCTGAAGAAAAAGCAGATCACAGAAATGACTGAAGTAACATCTAAGACCGTTTTAAACATTCTCCATCACCATCTTGGCATATCTTAGGTCAGTGTAAGATGGGTGCTAAGAATGCTCACACCTCTTCATAAACAGCTGCGTTCGAGTGTTCGCGCGAGTTTTTGGACTTGTGTAGCGGAGAACAAAGACGAAATTATAAACCAATTTTTGACTGAGGATGTAACTTGGGTTTATCACTATGAACCTGTGTCAAAGCAGAAGTCCATGCAGTGCACTCCGCCTAAAAAATTCAAAATTAAAGTTGTCACAATCTACTAGACAGACAGACTATGGCTTACGTTTTTTGAGATTCAGAGGAGATTTTATTGATCGATTATAAAGACGAAGGTTTCAATTTCACGGAACAGTATTATGCTACGCTATTAGAGAAATAAAAAGATCCTATTAAAGAATAAAGAAGGGGGGAAGAAATTTAATTTTATGTATATATACTTACATATTTTTATATATGTATATATTTATACACTTATATATGTATGAGTTTATATATATGTGAATATTAATTGCTACACATACTTCTTATTACACCTACCTCTTTTATCTCTGCACTACTCTAAGGTAGACTGGAATTAAGTCCGCCTATATACATCTAATGTGTATATGAAGTTAAATAAATAAAGAAGGGAAAAGTGGTTTCGAAATATGCTCCTTTTGCATGACAAAGCACCCCTTCACAATAGTCATGTTGTGATGGCTTCCTTACACAAGTGCGGCTTCGAAATTTTAAACCATCCTTTCCATAGTCTAGATCAGACGCCTTCGGATTATTATTTGTTAAAAAAATATTAAAAAAGAGCTTCGTGAAAAAATTAATAGATGACAAAGAAGTGAAGTCGGCATTCGTTTTGTTTTCGTAAAAATAAGTTATTTGTACAGTTTGAGAATTATATTAGGCTTAATAGAGAATATATCATGTTTCATTTCAGCCCCCTTTAACTCTGCGAACTTTATGACCTCCACTCGTACCTCGGTAGATATGTAGTTTATTTTCATGTTGAAAAGTAAGTCTACGTCGACTCGTAAGTAAGCACCTATAGACAGTTACGAGTCGTATCATGTTGTAATTGTCATTGTAATATATAGGTATCGCCACACGAGGAGGCTCTTTTGGTGCACCTAATTATTATTTGAAACTATTTTATAAATAAACGCTGGTTATATCAATCAATTATAATATATTGGTGTACTACGTAGATGTATTCAACTATTATAGACTTTGTGTTGTAGCATAGTGCGAATGATACCCCACGCCTATGAAGTTTCAATTTTTTTTAGATAAAATGTCATACAGATATTGTTGTACTTCATGGATGGGTGCCGCCCACTTAGGATAGTGACGTGCCACGTAAAACTGTGCCATATCATAAAGATAAACTAAGAGTCTATAAAAAATCGGTTTTAAAATAAATCGAATATATATAAAAATCACGTAAATTTGAATGGGAATTGGAACTAATCGTTCAAAAAATTCTGATTTGCGGAAAAACGCACATAGACACATATGGAGTGTTTCCGATGCATGGACGATAAATTATTCGTTGGTCTACTCAGGTGAAAAAAATTTATAAAGCAAATTGCGCATTGTAGGTATCCAAAAAGACTTTATCATAACTCATGGCGGCGAAAATGGCTACAAAAAACCTATTTTATAACATATTTATACCAAATTCTCGAATATTTTTAACTTCCGTTCCGATATTTGGCCCACTGGATCTGGCAACATTATTACACATATAGCGAAAGGCTAATACACATATAGCGAAAAAATTACAGATGCTGGCAGCCATTTTATTTGTTTAAATGAATGAATGAATGTTGCAATCAACATGATATTAGAAGATGGTTTTAATCTACACATTAAAACACACATTAGTAGTATAAGAAGTGTCTGTTTGTAATATCAAAATAATAGCCTTTTATTAAATGCATATGAAAGTATATACGGTGTTTATAACAAAAAGACAAAAACAAATTTTAAAATGTTTCTCTGTCCGTCTGTTTGTTCCGGCTTATAGCTGGCACTGGCAGATAGCTGATGTCATAAGAAGTAACAGGCTACATTCATTTTAGAAAAAGAATTAGGAACCCGCGCAAAAAAAAATTAAAGCCCATGAAATCCAATTGTAATGAATACTACGCAGGCGAAGTCAAGGGAACAGCTGTTATGTAACTATTATATCATAATTTGTATTAAACTTTAACTTAATTTTACATCCATTGTAGTTTATAAAGAATATAGATATAATGAATATAGAATATAGATGTTTCGGTTATAATTTTTATATCGATATTCGATAGCTAATCGATAATTTTTGCTTTGTTTTGTGTGACATTAATCGGCTTTTTTAAATCGATTTAACATTATTCCATCTATATATATATACATATATATATATATATATATATATATATATATATATATATATATATGTGTGTGTGTGTGTGTGTGTGTGTGTGTGTATCGTCGATATTTTTAAGTCGCGATATATCAATATTCAATATTTATCTTGGAGTGTCGAATTGGTATTAATTTCAATATATTTTAAAATGGTGTATTAATCGACAAAACATTAGACAACAAAAGTAGCTACAAAAGCTTTGATGTGCTGTTGTCCTTTGTTTTCGTCATACAACTGTTCAGTAATACCATTTTGAGCCTTTTCCTACTACATTATGCAAAACATGACGATATATTGATATTTATCACGCGAATATATCGATACTGTTTAAAAGTATCGATACAATATATTATATTGATATATTTTTTTCACTTGACCAGCCCTACTCGTCGCTATTGCTAGCAGCTAGCCAGATGCACGAGTGCTCCGCGCGGCGATTGCCCGTCCGCGTCTGCTTCACCCCCTAACAGCCTGGCCACGGCACATTCGCCGTAGCGAAAATCGAGCCAGAATAGAGAGGCGTCTAGCGACTAAACCAAACGTATAGAAATGTATGGAGCAAGCCACGCGTAGCGGCGAGTGGCGACGCGACCGGCGATATTTACCGGGCGAATCGCGCAAGCGACTGGCGGCGCGGCGGGCGACTGAAACAAATGTATGAATCAGTACGGTGCAAGCCACGGAGTAGGGCGGCTGACTCGGCGAATAGTATAGGGAACAAAATATTTCAGTTGTTTTCACCGCGAAAAATGCTTCTTTATATGCTCTTCTTTATATTTCCAATTCTGGTTGAATATTAACAAGAATATAACTGCAGGTTTCGACACTCATTTTGGTATTTACTCGATTTTTTTTCTAGATGCATTCTATTTTGATTTTAGATTTGTTGTGGAATTCTCCATCTATAACCCAATTCCTATTCAAATCATGACTCTTCCAAATACTATGTCTTGAATCAAAAAACAATTACTTTCTAAGCAATATCGAGATAACTTTGATAAAGACATTTCACTCTCGGCCTATCTGGTCGCGGCGGCAAACGTGACTTCCCGTGGCCCTCAAATCGCGCCGCGCGAATTATCGCCCCGCCCGTCGCTTCGCCGTTCGCGCCGCCGATCCCCGTGGCCAGGCCGTAAGTCTACGTGAACACGATACTATTTCGCCTTAAATAAGTACTATAAAACACTCTCGCGCCAACCGCATGTATTGTCTATCAGACTCAGTGAAGTGCGATAGCACAAGGTCGGTTCGCCCCCTGCCTCGCAGTACCCCCACCGTTGCTCTGTACAAGTACATTCGTTTGATACGTACATTCAATTGTTAGACGTATTAATTGTCCTAAGATGCGGTAAATATAGATAAATGCTATATTTAAAAGGTCTTGGGAGAGATCCCATTGGCGGTACTCGAAATAGATTCAAAATAAATTTATCATGAAGACTTGTGGGAGTCATTTAACACAACTGAACACACTCATCATTTTATATTATTACACGGATCTTAGTTAAATTAGTTTTACATGTTTAATATAATGGATGTTCGCAAAGTATCGCCTGATTCTATTATTTAATGTTGTTATTATTGACAAATACTGTGGTCAACGTTAATAAAGTATGTCGGAAGTGTGAGACTATAAAAAGTAACTGTTTTGTTACAGTACCGTATTTTTGGAGAACATCAGTCGTCATAACTCATCATCGAATAATAATGTATGCGATATAACCAGTAGTTAATGTAATACTTATTCAACTCATGTCAACTTTGAAGTAACTGTATGTCAAATTGTACTGTGCAAATGAGTAATTAGTAATTACTATGCATAAAGTATTTGGTTGATATTGCTAACGAAAATATCTTTCGCATAAATGTTAATGGTTACTTGTATATGATAGTAAGTGGATCCTGTAACCCTTAGACAATTACATCAATCTTCGATTAAAAATCAAATAGTAGATGTTGGTTGTCACCCCTGAAGACCAAGATGGTATATTTTTATACCAGTAAAAAGGGGTACCCGGTTCTCGTCACTTACCATACGAACACGTTAGCATCATGATGCTATTTACCGCTGGTAAATCTGAGGTGGCGTGGTCCTTTCGTGATATTGTTACTTTGGTCTTATAGACCAAATTACATATTAAAAAAGAGTCTTAAAGAGTTGGCATCGCATCTGCAATTTTGCTGGTGTAGCAGATGTTCATGGGCGACAGTGATCACTTACCATCAGATGAGCCGTATGCTCGTTTGCCATCTCTTCCATAAAAAATTTAGCCATTATGGGATACCCAGCAACATGTGACACATTATAGTTGATGTAGAATTTATATATAATATTAAATCTGGCACGCGGTGCGTTTCAGTTCTAGAAGAAATAATTGCGGAAATATCGTTTTAAATTTGGAAGAGTTATATTGTTTAATTGGGAATGATAATACACTACATTCATTGAAGTTGAATGATATACAAGTTTAAAATAAATTTGTCGATACGATACGCGCGCCACCTACTGTAAGTTAACTGTATTATGCCTATAACCTTCGCGAAAGTGCAAGCAATATGTTGACAAAGTTTTACCGCAATCCGATGAACGGTATGGCTGCGCATAAAATACGAACAAACGAAAATTGATTTTCATATATTAGATTAATGAATAAAAAAAGATATATTGAGTAAATATATGATTAAATAAAAAAATTAAAATATTAAGAAAAACGAAGTGTGTATACAATCAGTGAACGTGTCAAGTATACTATACTCGAATAGAAAGGCACACGCGGTACCCAATTAAAACAGAGAAGCAACAAATTGTATAATATGAGCACGCACACACAAAGGAGTCGTAACGGTAACGAGACGGCATAAGAGAACGTTATGCCGTTTGCCGTCACGATATACGAGTCGGTTTTACTGCCAAGGCATTTCAAATAGATGTTTCGCATAAAACATTTTTAAGGCGACACCGTGAAAAAATGCACCTCCTTTCATCGAATAGTATAGACACCACTAACGAAAGTGGAATTGTGATATAGGTAAATTCATGCCCTTATCTTGAATTTGATTGTTCAAAAACACGATTGTATAATTTTGACTCGATCATAATTATTTGCGAAAACATCTCTAAAAAATCACTATAGTTGAAATTACAACGAAATTACTTAATCTATATGCTTGGGAATCACTCAAATATGTTCATAACATAATATTCATAATTTACTTGTTAATTATTTTGATTACTTAAATCAATAATTAAAAAAAATTAAGATTCTGACAATTTCTAAGCGCTTTTAATCGTCACGGACGCTATGCAATTTTAGACCTTATAACGGCGTTTTTTCAAGTTTTTATAGAAATCATGTATTCACTCGGATCAGTACGGCGATAGCCTTTTCGATGTGTCGTCTTAACAAGTGAATAATTAGAAATGTTTGCGTGGTGCAGGTCGCCGCCGGTGTCGCCGCCGTCGCCGCCAGGCGCGCCGACGCGGCCGCCGCAGCCTCCGCCCGCCAATCCGCACATCGCCACCAAGAACCCCGCCTCACATTTCGGTAACCACACATTCACTCACCACTGCACACTACTTGTTTACTATGTCATTCATTTTTTGCCTAGGAATTAATTTCGGTAGGTACCATCCTACGAAGTACTAGTAATAGTAATTCACACACCACTGCACACTACTTGTTTACTATGTCATTCATTTTCTGCCTAGGAATTAATTTCGGTAAGTACCATCCTACGAAGTACTAGTACTAGTAATGCAGACACCACTTCACACTACTTGTTTACTATGTCATTCATTTTCTGCCTAGGAATTAATTTCGGTAGGTACCATCCTACGAAGTACTAGTACTAGTAATTCACACACCACTTCACACTACATGTTTATGTCATTCATTTTCTGCTTAGGAATTAATTTCGGTAGGTACCATCCTTCGAAGTACTAGTACTAGTAATTCACACACCACTGCACACTACTTGTTTACTAAGTCATTCATTTTCTGCCTAGGAATTAATTTCGGTAGGTACTATACTACGAAGTACCAGTACTAGTAATTCACTCACCACTGCACACTACTTGTTTACTATGTCATTCATTTTCTGCCAAGAAATTAGTTTCGGTAGGTACCATCCTACAAAGTACTAGTAATAGTAATTCACTCACCACTGCACACTACTTGTTTACTATGTCATTCATTTTCTGCCCAGGAATTAATTTCGGTAGGTACCATCCTACGAAGTACTAGTACTAGTAATTCCCACACCACTTCACACTACTTGTTTACTATGTCATTCATTTTCTGCCAAGAAATTAGTTTCGGTAGGTACCATCCTACGAAGTACTAGTACTAGTAATTCACTCACCACTGCACACTACTTGTTTACTATGCCATTCATTTTCTGCCAAGAAATTAGTTTCGGTAGGTACCATCCTACGAAGTACTAGTACTAGTAATTCACACACCACTTCACACTACTTGTTTACTATGTCATTCATTTTCTGCTTAGGAATTAATTACGGTAGGTACCATCCTACGAAGTACTAGTACTAGTAATTCACACACCACTTCACACTACTTGTTTACTAATGTCATTCATTTTCTGCCTAGGAATTAATTACGGTAGGTACCATCCTACGAAGTACTAGTACTAGTAATACACACACCACTTCACACTACTTGTTTACTATGTCATTCATTTTCTGCCAAGAAATTAGTTTCGGTAGGTACCATCCTACGAAGTACTAGTACTAGTAATTCACTCACCACTTCACACTACTTGTTTACTATGTCATTCATTTTCTGCCTAGGAATTAATTTCGGTAGGTACCATCCTAGGAAGTACTAGTACTAGTAATTAAAAAGAATTGAAATGGCCAATGGTCGGACCAAAAAAACTAATAATGAGTTTTTCCGTCAAAAAATTCTCAGTATTTGTCAGGAAGTTGGCGGTATGTCCCCCCCCCCCCGCCTCTGAAAGCACGTAAAGCCCTTGGTCCTGCGCCTGATCTCCCTCCGGTTGTGTCGGTTTACCGTCCCATCGGATTACGAGAGTGAGGGAATAGACAGTGCACTTGTGCTTGCGCATACACTTGGGCACTATAATCCTGTCTTGTGCCGATGGCTAGTCTCCGTTGAGGTAGGCCGCCGTGGCCAAAATTCGGTCTGGAAGACAAAGACAATACGATACTTAACGGAGAGAGAAATAAAGAAAGAGAGAGGAGGGAGAGAGAGGGAGGAGATGTAGAGAGATAGGGGGAAAGGAGACGTAGAGAGGGGGGAAGGAGATGTAGAGAGAGATAGAGCGCCTCTGCCTGGGACTAGATCTGATTACAGTCCCTCTTAACTATTTCTGCCGCCAAATAGTGGTGCGCTTGCACTGCCGTATTACAGTCAGAAGGATAAATAGAGCCTGAATAATTATTACAGATTGTGGCATTCTGTGATACATATCTTCACTATGTTGGATTATGTTCAACTATATCTATAACTATAGGCATGGGTCATTAGATACTCGGGAAAGCTTCCACCTTATAGGTCCAATGACGAAGTGTGTGTATATATTATATTTCAGTGACTTACGAGTTAACTGTCCATTTTACATGTCACAACTCTGAGGACTGAACTCTGAGGAATGGTAATAACGGCCGTTAAAGAGGGGGAAAAGAGAGCTGCTTAAAAAGCGCTAAGAGATAAGCGTAATATCAACATATTATGGGGAACGTAAAAAACGCATTTGAGCGTTAAATATCTAATTAAGAATTTCCTTGTTTGCTATAGGCTTTCCCCGTTGATTACATCATCATGGCAAGCGGGGTGGCAACCGCAGTTTATTGATTTTAAGTTGTAATTAGAGATATGGTGCTGCCCATTTCCTGATTTCTTTCCCTATGTCGCCTCTTACGACACTTGGAGTAGTGGATATTCTTATCCCGTCACTACAGTTACTAGTGTAGAATACTGCACATTGAATGATACATTGTTTTGTAGTGTTCGCGTAAATTATTGCGTGTAATATAATTTTTTTAATTTCCGATGTGTAGGACATAGTTAATAATATTTAAAATTTGAATGCACCTTCGTGATATCCGAAAATAGGCGTCCGTAACGTCGGGAATTAATTAAATCTGTAACATTTGTTTTATTTAGCGTCAAACACCGAATTAGACATAAGCAGAGGGGAGTGTAACAACTGCATGGTGTACACAGGTACGCTACGTGGTCCGCGTACGCTGCGTCCGCCGGGCGTGTGCCCGCCGCCGCCGCCCGGCGCGCCCCCGCCGCCGCCCGCGCGCCACGCCTCGCTGGCGCCGCTCCCGCCCCCGCCGCCGCCGCACCACAGGCACAACGTGAGTACATACCTCATACATACACACACACGCACGGCGCGCCACGCCTCGCTGGCGCCGCTCCCGCCCCCGTCGCCGCCGCACCACAGGCACAACGTGAGTACACAACGCATACACACACACACACGGCGCGCCACGCCTCGCTGGCGCCGCTCCCGCCCCCGTCGCCGCCGCACCACAGGCACAACGTGAGTACATACCTCATATATACACACAACACACGGCGCGCCACGCCACGCTGGCGTCGCATCCCCCCTTCCTCCGCACCCCAGGCACAACGTGAGTACACAACGCATACACACACACACACAGGCGCGCCACGCCTCGCTGGCGCCGCTCCCGCCCCCGTCGCCGCCGCACCACAGGCACAACGTGAGTACATACCTCATACATACCACACATACACACGGCGCGCCACACGCCACGCTGACGCCGCAACCCCCCCCTCCGCACCACAGGCACAACGTGAGTACACAACGCATACACACACACACACACACGGCGCGCCACGCCTCGCTGGCGCCGCTCCCGCCCCCGTCGCCGCCGCACCACAGGCACAACGTGAGTACATACCTCATACATACACACACACACGGCGCGCCACGCCTCGCTGGCGCCGAAACCCCCCCCCGCACCACAGGCACAACGTGAGTACACAACGCATACACATACACACACGGCGCGCCACGCCTCGCTGGCGCCGCTCCCGCCCTTGTCGCCGCCGCACCACAGGCACAACGTGAGTACATACCTCATACATACACACGCACACACGGCGCGCCACGCCACGCTGGCGCTGCAACACCCCCTCCCCCCACCACAGGCACAACGTAAGTACACAACGCATAAACACACACACGCATACAACACGCGACACGCCTCACTGGCGCCGATGCACCCACGGTATGATATAGGTAGTGGGTTTTCTTGCGCCGGTACTATACACGTTTATATACTGGGTGGCTATTTTTATCGTCTGGAAAATAATATAGCGTTATGTGTAAGTGGAATAGAAGCTATCCTCGAAAGTATTTGTAAAATATAACTAGATAGGCAAAATTTCCAAATACCAAAAAATAGATAAAAACCATTTATCCTACGGCGTTTGCGTAAAACTAAAGAATGAAAGTTGTAAGAGCGAGCGAAACGCATGCACATTTCTTTCGTTATGTAGGCGCCAGGCCTATGTTCAGCAGTGGACTTGTGAAGGGCTGTAATGATGATGATGATGTAGGCGCCAGGCTGCCGACAAATCGTTCCAGCCAAATTTTTTAGAATCAGCTGACGCGCGTCTTACATCCACAAAAAAACTATTTTTTCCCTTATATGTATTTAGGCACTTTTTTATTTTTCAATGAGTTGGTCTAGTTGTTGTAGTAGTGTTACAGCTAATCATGAGGTCCTGGGTTCGAATCCCGGGTCGGGACAAAAAAATCAATTTATTGAGTTTTTCCATCAAGAAATTGTCAGTAGCTGCCCGGAGTCAGGAAGTTGACGGTGTCTCACCCCCGTGCTTCGGAAAGCACGTAAAACATTTGGTCCTGCGCCTCATCTCTCTCCGGTCGTATCAGTTTATTGTCCCATAAAACGAAGAGAGTGAGGGAATAGAAAGTGCACCTGTGCTTGCACAAACATTTGGGCACTATAATCGTATCCTGCGCCGATGGCTAGTTTTTGTTGATGCTGGCCACCGTGACCGAAATTCGGTCTGGAGGACATTATTACATTATTTATTTTTGAGTTATTATCAAAGTATGGCCTCTTAAAAAGCCAAAAGGTACTAACTACATAGCATATGGGTGCTTAAATAACAATAGTAATATCGACTTTTCATTTTTTACTGTTAATAAGGATACCGAAAGGTAAGATACCGAATGTTAATATTTATGGGTAGATGATCTAAATAATTAGGCACCTAGTTACTGTCTCCATAGTTACAGATTTATTGTTTGACTAGCGACCCGACCACAGCTCGCAATTTTCGATATTTCCGCGTTTAATATCAATGACCTTGCTAATGCAAGATCAGCATATATTGGTTATTAGTATAATTCTTGGTCGATGAAAGAAACAGATATAAAATAGCAGCACTCTTTCATTAATAATGCCGTCGCGTGTCGCATGATTGTAAATAGGAAAAAAAATGTGAAACAGAATATGGTAAGTATGTAAATTACCTTTCGTTTCAGATTATTATTTTTGTGATTTTCAATCTTTCCTTCATACTTTTACGGGCTTAGGACCGTCTTGTATGCTGTAGTTGAGTAGAATTACATGTCACATTTTATCTTGCATTATAATGAATTGATAAACAGTTTCTAAGGCGTATTTAAAAGATCGAAATCAACTTATTTACTTACAAACTACACAGATTAATATTTACAAAATTATATTATATTATTGTTATTTACATGTAAAAAATACCTTTCGTAAGTAGTAACCTTCTAAACACAAACTAGCACGTCTTTAAAAATTGTTCGTTAAACTTCGAAGCGTGTTTCTATCACTTTTTATCACATTAAATACGTCTATTATTTATACGCTGCTTTAAATCACTAACACTTTGTGCTTCTTCTGTGTACACTATTCTTTTTTGTGAAATATCAGTGCCATAGGCTTCTATTCAGTTCACCTGTTACACCCAATTCTTTCCATACGATAAAAATAGTCATCCAGCATATAGAACAGCTCTGAAATAATACACGGAGTGAAGACCTCCGGCCGCTTCACCTCTCACCGGTGTGGTGAGATCACCTCTTTTTTTTCTACGGCCAGTTTTTTTGTTAACTCGCCCTCATCCACAACGTCTTTATTATTTTTGTTTATAGAATTAGGATGATGAACAAACATGCAAATCCACCTGATTGCAAGTGAATGCTGCTGTCCAATATATTTAGATGTCTAATTAATAATCTATGTTTAATTAAAAAATCATAGTGTAGAAACATTGTCATCCCTGAGGACTGAGATCAAATGCCTTGTTTTCAGTAAAAAAATCTCTACACACCACACGAAATACAGCAGCATTAAACAGCTGTTTTCCGCTGGTATTCTGTGAGAGCGTGGTTCTTTTCCGGTCGCGATGACCCATTCGTGCTACAACTATAATATAGCTGTTGCATGGTTCTACTACGTATAAAATATGAAATTGTATTTCTAGTAACCGGATATAACAGTTCGTCCTGTTGACTTGCATTTAGACCGATGTTTTTCACAATTATTTCGGCAATTTAAATCGGCCTATACCAACAGAGTATAACGAGCATCACGAGCAGCACGAGCGAGGAGGGCGCGGCGCCGGCGCCGCCCGCGCGCGGCTCGTCCATGCGTGCGCCGGACCTGGAGGCGCGCTTCGCGGATCGCTTCCGGCCGCCCGCCGCCTTCCCCGCGCCCGACCCCTTCCTGCGTATCGCCAAGGACTACAGCAGCGCCGCGCCCGCGCTCGCCGGTAAGTACGCGTGAACGCGCGCCGACTTACAACTGGGACGTGCAGGATATGATAATCATCATTTTATCGTGGATGCGGTATTGTTTATGGGGTAAATTCGAATAAATGTTTCGAGCGATAATTTCAATGGCTTTAAAACTATCAAAATCCATGTAGACTTAGAATACTACGAATATTAGAATGACATATATTGTTACGCGTTTTTTTTTTTTGAAGAGCGACCTGAATGTAGACACGAGAAATTTTTTGTACCAAGTAATAGTGTCCTGTCTGAAATGGCAATAATCATACCTACTTATTCAATATACATAAATATTAAATAGTAAGTATGTTCTTGGACTTTTGGTACAACATATTCGACTGAATATCAACCGACTTTTTTAGCCTAAAATTTTTGGCTTTAAGAGATTTATTTTAGTTTTTTGCTTTTACTTAAAAAAAGTGAAACGCACAAAACATCTTGATAGTCATACAGTATACAAAAATAGATTTATAACTGTATATATAGTTAACTTTGCAATGCAATAGGTACAAGTCATACAAATAATGGCGTGTTTATGCCCTATTTTAATATCATAAGAATTTATAGGAGTTAACAATAAGTTTTTAAAACCAAATTCGTAACTTGGGATTGTTTATTCGCTATATACTTAGTATATTCTGGGTATGTTCCGAAATACAACGCAGTGTACTGTCCAATGCAAATGACGTATAATTTGACACTTTATTGTATAGCTTGCCGCCGTTTGTGTGCGTATTTTTAATTGTGTGTTTGCCGAATGAAGCATGCCAGAATTTGTTTCTATTTATTCAAATACAAAAAATTATAGAATAATTGATGGTATATCCATTAGGAGGATATAATGATATTTGGAGTATTCGCAACACTTTACTGACGAAAGATATATATTAATTTTTGGAGAGGCGATTCATGACGTCATTTGCATTGGACAGTACACTGCGTTGCATTTCGGAACATACCCTCTGTATTGTCTAGGTGCATGATTGCATGCATGTCAAATGTCTTCGTAAAAGTGGCCTTACATTAAAAATATGTGATGTTATTTCTTTATGGAATAGTGTAGAATAAGTAATTTTGTATTATGTATGTAATGCCTCGTCATTTTGCTCATTTTTATGTATAATTTTGTGTAGTTTTCAAAAATAGGTTGTTAAAAATAAATATGGAAAGTAGCACACAGAGCTATCGTCTTTTTATTGCATTTATAAATTGACATTTCTTATTATTTCATAAATCGCTTGTTTCTTTAAGCGTTATTGAAATGTTCGTAATTGCTTTCTCTAAACAACGTTTAATGTTTACAACGGTTTACTTTCTGTGAGTCATGATCATTTGAAAAATCATAATAGTCACACATAAATTGAACTAGTAATGGGGCAAATGTTGACAAACTTAATAATGTTAGTTTTGTAGGACTATAGATGTTACTCCTTGTTTTGAGTCATTATATTTTTTAGTTAATAATATGTATCGACTTAATTTACTTTATTATAAGAAATATATTTATTCTCTTGGGTTCTAGCGCTTATTATACGTATCAAACTTTTTTGTAGCTACAAGTTTGTTATCTATGATTAAAAAAAATCATAATTGTAAACATTTGTATATGTAACAATTGTAATTTGTTTTAAATGCCAGCTTACTGATCTATATTTCATCGTAATGTTAGGTTATTTATTAATAAATAATAGCTAGTATTGTATACAACAGCATGTGTAGCATTTTTTTTTAACCAGTATACTATTGTAGAATTTTTTTGCCGAATGAACTTGGTAAGGCGGCATATTGTTCGATTGAGAGTGTTAGATATTTTTGTAGAGAGTACATTTTGAAAGTATTATATTTGATACGTATATTCGCCTATAGTCTGCCCTGCACATATTTGCAATTTTGTAAACATGCAATAGTTTATTTAGTTTAAAAATTTGTTGTGATCTTATAATATAGTGAGGTGCCATTACGCAAATTTGTGCATTATGTGACTGCGACGCCCTGTTCTTTTTATTTCACATTGCAAGTATTGACACATGATCATTGGATCTCTTAATCGATAATTTAAAGTATTTTTTAAAATAAATAAATGATTCCAGCTACTTGTTCCTAGAAGCATGTAGAAGTACAATATTTGAGTCATTGCATTTCCTCGGTCAAGAGATTCAATTAAAGCTTTTTTTTACCAAAATGCAGCAGGTATTGTGATAAAACGATGTACGATGCTTAATATTTATAGTTATTATTTTTAATAATAAAAGAGTAATCATTATTGAATCGTTTGTCCAGTATTTCATTGTTCAACCTCTAACATAACTTGTGTCGTCCGATTGCTTCATGTCAGAATTACATTTTGTTGGGAAGTTCAGCATGCAACTATACAATTATTCGACGTATTTAAACTAAAAGAAACAGAGCTGTTATGAAAAACACTGAGCTGTTTATTTTCTTCTATTCTTATTATATGTTATAAATGAAATAGAACAGTCTGAATTCTATTTCGAGAATTTCCAATTTGACATATTTGGTTCAAACTAATTGAGTTATTTTAAGTAACTATTAATATTTTTTTAAATTAAAAATAATAGTTTTATCACAGCTGGGTCATATAATTGTTATTGAAGAAGCTTTGCTCCTAATTATATTCTTGGCACATGGTCCAACATTATTGTCTGATACTACATAAATCAAGTTATAAAATAGTTCCTTATTGTAACTGAGAGAGAAATATGGCCAATTTAATAAGACTAATACAATGGTGAACAACAAACTTCACACAGGTACGGTAAGTGTCATCTATTCAAATTTTACTTAACCCAATGTGTAGTTTGCAAAGTCATTGATACTAGCATAAAAGGCCCATTAACAAAATTTCCTAGGTCCACCAGCTGAAGATAGGTACGTTTGCAAATAATTGCAAACATTTTAATTATTGTCGCTTTAATCCCATATTGTATTAACCCTCATAAGTAACATAGGTGATTAATATAAAGTATGGATAGTGTGGACTCTCAATTAACAGTAATGCTTTGCATGTTTTGCATGTCATTAATATCAGGGATCAGTTTATTATCGTTTGAATGCAATAAAACGACTTATCAGTTTGGATTACGTGTAAATTCAGTTTTTTTCTATTTCTGTCAATGTGATTATTGTATTTATTTTGGGTATGTTCCGATATACAACCCAGTACACTGGCCAATGCAAAAGACGTCATAAATCGACGCCATATTGGTGATTCGTTGTATCGAATATGGTGGAATACGGCGTCAATTAATGACGTCATTCGCATTCGCCAGTGTACTGGGTTATATTTCGGAACATACCCTTGTGTAAATAATCAAGGGTAATAAATCGTACTTTGGAACCAAGGGCATGTTAATTTTCTTTGGTTATTAAGGCACTTTTACTAACCACAAACATTTACAAAAATTAAAAGAATTTTAATGTGTGTTGTATTGCAGCAGTGAATAAAGCGCAAGCACCTCTGCCGCCATTGAAGGTTCCGCTGGAAGGCTGGTCGGGCACTTCGAGCGCTTGCTAGCGAGAGCGGGGGGCTGTTGCCCCCGCGGCGCGCTCCGCGTCCACGGCACACCTGGTGCCCGAGGCGCACCCCGCCCACGCTCTACTGTCCGTCGCCCACGCACTTCTCTGCCCGGCCAACAAAATTGCCACGGCCGCCGGTAAGGCAGAAACCAGCCAAAACGTGCTACCCATAGAACAAGTAACGATGCCTACGGAGGATGTTAGCGATCTCAGAGACGTTGTCGATGCGATTAACAGACTGTGCGAGACCATGAAAACCTCCGGTTACGAAGAAACCGAATACGAAGATTGTACAGATGTAACTTGGAAAGAAGAGATCGTGGAAAGCAGTGACGTAGTGAACACTGAAGAATTAGTAAGCCCTGAGGAAGTAGCTGTCCAAAAGGTGGAAACTTACGTTGCAGAGAGATGGAGCGATACGTCTTTAGTAGAACAAACCGAGGAAAGCGAAAACGTTACATCCGACACTGATCAAACGGCAGTTTTTTGTGAGCCAATTAGTGAAATGTATTACACAGCTTCTTCAGAAGTATCGCTGCTATCTGATATGGAATTCCCAGAAAGGGTTCATGATGAGGGCAAAGATTTGAAAGATGATAGACAAAACGTGATTGCTGGTCATGTTGCGGCTATGAGAGAGAGATTTGAGAGTATGACACGTGCGAACACGCCTTGCCCGGATGTAATGCGGTCGCTGTCGCCGTCTTTAGATATGTTCAGGAATATAACACCTTCACCTGATCGTTTGGACGAATAATCTGAAAAGATGTTCGTAAATTACTATCACAATAAATTTATTCGATTTGATTCTGCTATAATAGCCGAAAAATGATAGATGAAAATCCTATAATTATATCCTGTGTAATGTTTTTGCTATTCTCAAATTTTAAGTTTTAGATGAATTTTATATCTGAGCATATTTTATTACTACTAGCTACCCGTAAATTGTATTTTTTTAAATACTCTACATAGCGCGCATTAATTAAATACACTTGAGTGTAATATTTAAATTTTATTTAAAAAGACTATATATTGTAGCTAACAAAAATAACACCCTCGCCTGCATCCCTTCTTGTTTCTACTCTTTAAAATGGACATATGAATCCAGACACATTTAAGTAATATGCATACACACTGCTCGTAGATTTCTTATATTTTTTCGGTGACATTTCAGTGTGCATTTTTTAAATATTACCTATATAGATTAAAGGGGGTAGTTGTAGGATAAAAGTGTATGATGATAGTATTATTTATTCAATTATTATTCATGTATTACAAACGTACAAAATGTGGGAATATGTTGACAGTTTGCGAAAGTGTTGTGATCGTTTTGGTGTCCCTTTGCAAAGAATAGTATAACTGTTTCATATCTCTAATAATAATTAGCGTAGTTGGGGTTAGCATTGCATCTAGCATTATTGTATGGGGAGTTGAAAATATAATTTTTAGGATGAAATAATTACTGTTTTAATGTGATTTTCGAAAAGCTCAAATTTTAGTCTTTACATTACTACAAATTAAACTAACCCTCTACAAACTAATAAGTACTATCTACGTTTTGTCAGACCAAATAGCTTAGCTTAGATACCATTTTTGGGGAAAAAATAACGATGTAAACATGTATATTTACAAATGTATGCTCCGTTTTTTTTTCAAACATTAGTAATAAAGGTTGCCATAAATATAAAGTTAGGTGTTTGTTGAAAACTTATTGTTTTACTACAAAATCTGTTGTATTTTTTACTGAAGTTTGTTCGGTGATACTAGTTAATAGGTATTACGAAATGTTCTAATTAGGTATTGGTGTATTGTTGAATAGACTGCTAACGTCAAGTGTTATTTTTAGTTCATTTATTTGTATTAATAACGGAAGCATTTGTTATAATTATTTGGAGAATATTTAAATGTTTTACATGCAGACGTCAACTTCAGTGTCATTACTTTTTGGCGACAGTTCTAGTAGTGATCGTGTAATATAACGTGTTATGTATGTATTCGGACGAGACTTTTATTAATTGTAATACAATATATGGCTTTATTAAAAAATTTAATATGAATTATTTGTTTACTTGCAGTAGTAGTAACCCTTTGGGACAGGTAATGAAATGCATTTCTAATTTTGGATAGCCTGATAGTTTTACATTATATACTCATTCGATAGAAAAGTTAAAATGTAATAAATAATAATCCATGCATTATCTTAAGAAACATTAATAGGAGACATTACAATTTATTTTTATATAATTAACAGACAAATTACATACATTAGCATGAAACAAAAATATAGTTGTAGTTATAATGATAGATGTAACAAGCATTTTTTTTAATTTTATGGGATACTTTGCTTTCCAAAATTAGATAACAGGTAACAAATAAAAAGCGAGCATTCAGTCCATAGCATTTATTGAGTAGTGTCAAAATTCTACAAGATAGGCAAACGTCACAACTTCACGTGGAAATTAAGAAAAAAATTCAAGGCAGATAATTAACGTATCATCGTTATTCTTACACACATTTGAACACCTGAATTTTAAAAATATTCACTACCGACGATACTGAGCTCGGTGTAGGGTTAACATGGCCGAGGGACAGGGGGCCGCCAATCCAACAACGCGAGTTGTGACAGCTCAGGCCCGATCCACAATACGGAGCCGACCCCAGTTATTTCTCGGTCCGCTTCTGGACAAGTATTGCACTTAAATTAATTATACATTGGACTAAATTTTATTACTATCAATTACGTTCATTGTTGATAAATGAAACGGCTGGACTGTGTCGAGAGCGGACCGAGAATGGCTCAGTTTTGTGGGTGGAGCCATAGTCGCCTGCGTTATCGTCGCAGGGAACTGCCGGCCCAACCGCGGCCGAGCCGGGCGAACTGCATCACCTGTCCCGGACCAAGGTTGCCAGATGTCGCCCTCTAGCCGGACATTTTATCTATATTTTAACATCTGGCATATAAATACAATGCATATCTATATTTATGAAAAAAAAAATCTTAATAATTTACAGTGTTATAAAGTTCAATTTACATACGTCGTCGCGCGCTCCCGTCTATCGTTTTATTTATTTACATCTTTGTATCAATTACAAAACGAACACAACAAATATCTTACACTACTTGTAACTAGTAGCAAAATGTCCGGCTAAATTAACAAAGTTCATCGCCAACACGCTGGCAACCGCGCCCGACACGGAGCCGCGACTGCGACGCTCGTTGCGTTTACACGTTCTAGTTCGTACACGATTCTGTTGCGCGGCTTCTTACCTTGGCGTTAGTACCGTCACCGCGGTTTAGCATACAGGCTTCGGACACAACCGTTCAAGCGGACGTGGTAATAGAACGGGCGCCTACCTTCGGGCGGCCGTCTGTGGCAGAGTGTGGCAGCGGCTGCTATCGGTAGCGCGGCTGCATGACGGGCAGCCCGTGCACTCCGCCCGGGAACATGCCCATCGGCATCATGCCGCCCGGCACCAGCATGCCTGCACATAAGGCGCGCGTCAGTGCGTAGCGGCCGGCGCGGCGCGGCGGCCGCGCTACGCCGTAGCACGCCCTCCCCCCTCCCCCAACCTAGCCCGCCCGCAGCCGCGCCGCGCCTCCACGGAACAGAGTGCAGTAAGCGAAGGTGCATTGGTGTAGCGTTATCAGGTACAACTCTGGTCGATTATGTCGATTGCTCATCTTTCGTCATACATTGAAATATAATATTAAATAAATAAGAGATGATAGTCTATTTATTATAGCAAGAGTTAAATGATTCTGTCCTTTTGCTAACCGTTTCCTTTGTGTAATATGTACCAATTTTTAGTTGAAAATCTTTTACGTATTATGGGTATGATTGTCACTCATTCTATAATATAAAGACTAGAAAATTATTAAAATATGAGAAAGTTAACATCGACCCAAGTCCTTCCCCGGCTACGCCAATGCGAAAGAACACAGGTAGGATGAATTCACATGAAAAAATCACACTTTCAAAATACCGAATATAGAATAATCGTATCCGTATCTCATGCACGTTCCTGCTTGCGATCCGAGACGGTCGTGTGGTGTCCAATTTAGCCAACGACTAAACTCTTCGGTTCATGCACATTTGAAAGCGACAAACTACTTGTACGTAAATATATAATATTAGTGTACCCACCCGTAAACCGACAAAGTCACATTTTATATGACACTACGAGAAAATCGAGACAGTAATAAGATAAGAGCTACTACAGTAAGCAAATCCATTAAGATTGTGAATAAAATTACCGCTCATTTTCGTTCCGTCGCTCCGATTATGCGAATGGCACATCGAAGTCACGGTTAATATCTTGACCTACGTCGGACTCGTAAGTGGCGGGCCAGCCCCGGCGTTAGTGGGTGTTAGGGAGTGTGAGTATCGATAAGCTGTTATGTGTGATTATATCGAGAACAAGAGAAATAGAGTGAATGAGATGAACATTTATCATGTTGCGGCCCGGCCATCTGCAGACCTTACTTAGAATCGAGTGCCGATCCGCGCGGTCATACTGCCGGCTGCTCAGAAAACGACTCTTGTTCCGCCTTCGAATAACTCAAATAAAGGTAGAGCTGGGCCGCTCTCTTAAAGCAATGCATCATATTATATTTGATAATTTAAATAACTTTACTGATTTTGGTTTATAGCCGTGGAAAATAGAAACTAAAGTCGCACAAAAAATTTATGATTTATTTATAGATTTATAAAAAACAGTGACAATTGTCTTATCCATTTTCCACGCCGATATGCAATCTTGACAAAATAAAATTCACAGTACAAAAAAGATCGTGTAAATCTGATAAAAATACAACTAAGTTACAGTATCGCCATTACCCAAACTAACTATTAAAAATAACCACTGAAATCAAAGTAAAAAATGACAACTTTTATGTAAATCTAGGAACTGATTTTTCGCAAACACTACAATCCTAATCTGTAAGACTGGACAAAGAAAATTTTTTAATAATTAAAAATAAGTCATGAAAATTATTCAAATTTATAAAAGGCAGGTTAAAGACAAATATAAAATTCTTACACAAAGAAACAATTGTGAAATTAACTAATATCTTTCATAACTCAACATGTGAATAGGAAACAACCAAACCTTGTCAAGCACACTTAATTTTTCTCAAACCAGCTTCACGAACTGGAATTAAATCAGTTCTAATTTTAAAACAAAGCATTAAAATGAGTAATGTCTATGTTGTGGTCTGATATGTTTTGTGTAATTTTTTTAATATTGCTTCGAGTATGAAACAAAGATCGTAAAATATTATAAATTGGCACATTAATGTAATAGAAAAACAAATGTACGAATGACAATATCAAAATATCAGTTCACATTTAAAGGGAATGCACTAAACTGCAGTCTTATTTAACTGGATGTCCATAATTCCTTTTACACACAATGAATATACTTATGGATTTATTTATGAATAAGTTGAAACATCAAAAATACATCATTAATTTATCATAATACGAAATTAACATTCAGTTCTGAAAATAATGTCCTAATACATTTTCATTACACAATTTACTATGAGAACTTTACCTCATATAATATCATCTATGTCTTAGTCACCTACAGATCTTCAAATAAAAATATTTTAACATTATCAATAGATACTTCAATATTTTTAAGATATTAAAATTACTACAATAATCTCCTCATTTTTTAAATTTCTTTTTAATCCATTTATCATTATACAATGTTATTTTTTTAAGTAATTAAAGACATGACATGAAAGGGCAA